GAGGTGCCTGCCTCAGTGCCGGCATGCTGCGCTCGGTGCTGCCCCAGCCGTGCTCACGCTGCCTCTCTCTTGCAGGGATGGCCCCGCAGCAGAGCCCATGAAGACACACCGGGAGTGAGCAGCACCAGGACCACCGGCTGGGTACTGCCAACACCATTAAAAGTGCTGTGCCCACCTGCTGCTCCTTGTTTTGGCACTGCCACCATCACCAGAGAGGAGGCCAGGGGAAAGGGACAAGGTGTTTATTGGGGCCAGGGCACTGTGCCCGTGGTGCGTGCTGGCCTCATTTGGCCATGTAGTACTGGGTGGGCACAAAGGGCATCTTGGTGATGACGGCAGGGTGCTGCTTCTTCCGCACCTCGACGGTGAGCTCGGTGCCGGCCCGGCTGTGTGCTGCCTCCACGTAGCCCATGGCGATGTTCTTTCCCAGGCAGGGTGAGGGACATCCGCTGGTCACTGTGCCTGAGATGTGAGGATACGGGGAGGTGAGAGGGGCCTGGCCAGCCCCTGTCCATGCCATGGCCACAGCTCAGGGTCATGCCCGTGCCAGCCCCACTGCCCCCACCTACCCACAGGTCTGCCTTCGGGGCCCAGGATGGCCATGTGGGGCCGGATGGCAGGTCCCACTGATGTCAGCCCCACTCGCCTGCGCCTCGGCTTGTCTTTCACTTGTGCCATGATGACAGCAGCACCAGGGAAGTCCATGGCCACACGTCGGCGCTTCCCTGCAGGGCAGAGATGGGTGAGGGTCGGTGATGCCTGACCAGTCCCCTTGTACCCACTGAGGACACCTTGCTGTTCTGCCTGCCCCAAGGAGGAGGTGGAGGTGGACCTACCCAAGGTCCACATCAGCCCGGCCTCGGCAGGGGTGACAGTCTCGTCAATGTCATTGCCATAGAGGCAGAGCCCAGCCTCCAGGCGCAGGCTGTCCCTGGCTGCCAGCCCTGCTAGCCACACATCGGGGACACCCAGCAGCTTCTCAGCCAGCTCCACCGCCCGCGCCGCGGGCACCGAGATCTACGGCAGGACATGGGCAGGGTCAGTGGGGCACAGCTTTCCCCTGCACTGGCACCGCAGTGGGGATGCTGGCACAGTTCCCTGGGTACCTCCACGCCATCCTCGCCGGTGTAACCGCAGCGTGTGACCCGGCAGCCTGGCACGCCAAAGACGGTCGTGGTGATGCTATTCATAAAGGAGAGCTTGGCCAGGTCATCGGACAGCCCTGCCTGCAGAACCCGTGCCATGGAGGGACCTGGGGAGGCAGGTGGCTGGAAAACACCAGTGCCCAGGGAAGGGGGGGTAGGTGGGGAGGGCGGTGACATCCACCGGGAGGGGACCCGGAGGAGGGCAGGCCCATGTGTGGCACCCACTACCTTGCAGAGCCAGCAGCGCGTTGTCTGACACCTCCAGGTGTACATCACTGCCGGTGGCCTGCAGTTGCGCCGCTCTGTCCTGCCAGGGTGACAGTGGGCTGCTAGCACGGGGGCCAGGCCAGTGCCAGCCCCACACGTGGCTGTAGCCACCTCACCCCACACAACACGGGTGTCACCGAAAGGCATCAGGACTCATTCCCGCTGCGTGTCCCCACCTCCCGCGGGGCTCAGGCAGTCCCATACCCTTAAGATGGCCAAGTCCTTGTCAGCACAGGCGGCGTTGGACACCACGTAGAGGTGATCTTCTGACGTGTTTGTGACGATGAGGTCGTCCGTGATGCCGCCCTTCTCGTTGGTGAGCAGCGTCAGGGTGCCCTGCGGGACACGGCCCACGGAAGCGTGGGCGGGGTGCCTGGACCCTCCCAGGGCATCCCGGGGACCTCCGACCCCACTGGATGCCTGGTGCCCGCCCAGCGCCCCGTACCTGTCC